CTGTCCTCTTCCTGTGATTTCCATGGTTTTCTTTGGCTCTAGGTCTACTTAACAGATTGCTGCCAAATTATTATTATTTACTGCGGTGAGGACGGATCTAAGGAGACAGCGCAGGGATAAGGGCAATCTATGCCCGAAAAAGCGAGAACTCAGCTTAATTCCTTTACAAAGTGTTCGTCCCAACACTACAAGCGTTTTGACAAGCTGTGGATCAGCTGTTCACTCGCATCGCATTTGGTGCCGCTGACACCAGATCGCCTGCTGCCTGTTACGCGTATTAAATGGAATAATTTACGATGGTTACCAACGGTAGGGGGCCATTTCCATCTTCAAGGCACGATAAGACCACCAGACGTCGCTCTCTTCAGACTAGCACGAGACCTTTTTGAGTTTCATTGTTTTCCTCCAGCCGGAATACGGTGGAGAGAATCCAAAAGTTCCAGAGACTGTGTAGAGGCCCAATGGCAAAGGCATCAGCAGTACGTCGGTACTGCGTACCGACGTTTCGCTGTCGCGCAAAAACCACGGGTCGCACGTGGGCTAAGGATACAGCAGTGGTCACCATGCACCTACGCAGGCTCGAACCCGCGCAGCAAGATTACGAGAAGCGCTTTACCTCGGCTACGGGCCGGCAATGTCCAGGTTGACAATTTAATTTGCCACATGAAACCATGCCTGCTGATAGTAACGTCTGGTGAATATGCGAGCAGTGATCTCGAATGGTGTTCAATGGACGATTACTCAGCCCAGATGCTAGCGTACTTTGATGTGTTCAGAACACCTGGTTTCGCCAGTCGGCGGGTGTCTATGCGCTCACAGCGAAGTTGCGTATGTCCACCGAAACGCACCCGAAGGTCGGTATACACAAGAGCGTGATCGTAGTCCACGCTCGTGCTCCAAATCGAGTGAAAGTTTTGGACGCAAGCTCTCCAGCGATAACTGATTGCGATACGATCGATTTGCATCTATGGCTGGTGGGCGCCAAATCACTCTGTGGGTGGTGTGTCGAGTTAGCGATATCGAGATAGTGACGAGCATATTCACACACATGTAGAAACCGCCCACCATTATGAATACGTGAGCCTACATCGTGTTGGCCGCCCAGCAGAGAAAACTTTTCCGACTTGGGGGTTAAGATCACCAGCACCGAATCGGTGAAACCGTTTGTAGCAGCTTAGATGGTAATAACAAACGGGTACCATCACCATAGACAGATTTGCATGAAAAGTATTAGATGCAGCTACAAAAAGGCATCTCTGCTCGCCGCATTCTCAATATTCAGTATCTGACCTCCTTATTCGAATGTGTCTGGAAAGAAGAGAGCGTCCCGGCTAATTAGAGCGAATCGATTATAGTGAAAATATACAAGAACGGCAGTCACACAGACTGTTCTAACTACAGGGGTATAAGCCTAACACCAATTGTGGCAAAATCATTGGCTTTGATTATCGTTCGCCGCCTCACTGCGGAACGGGAATCTAGGATTAGGGAAGAGCAGGCTGGTTTCCTCCCAGGACGTGGCTGTGTAGACCCTATATTTACTTTGCGGCAAGTGCTAGAGCAGTGCTACGCACACCGCAGACCGACAATAGCTGTGTTCCTCGATTTCAAGAGTGCGTTCGATTCAGTCGATCGATCGATTCTGTTCGAAATACTTGCGCGGAAAGGTGTTCCCACGAAATATGTGAACGTCCTTCGTGCTCTATACTCGAACACTACAGGCCGGGTCAGGGTCTATGGCAGCCTATCGGATAGCTTTCCGACCACAAGTGGCGTTCGTCAGGGTTGTCCGATTTCCCCGTTTTTGTTCAATTTCGTCGTGGATTTTATCATGGAGTGTTCCGTTGCGGAATCTCACGATGTAGGCGTTGAAGCGTTGCCTGGTGAAAGCTTAGTTAATCTAGGGTATGCGGACAATATCGTCCTGCTTTTCAACGATGTTGGGGCGGCACAATCAACACTAAATTGTCAGTCCAGAATGGCCCCAATATTTGGTAGGCACTTCGCACCTTCAAAGTGAAAAGTTATGCTGCAGGACCACCAGCCACTTGATGACTACTTGACTTGCTAATAAGGAACTTGAGGTGGTTGATCAAATCACTTATCTTGTCAGCTGCATCGGCAATGATGGGCGCATAGAAACTGACGTCGAATCAAGCATTACAAAGGCCAGAACTGCCTTCTTGAACCTGCGACATCTTTGGCGACAGAAGGGAATTTCCCTCCGTCTGAAAGACCATGTACATAAGGCCACAGTGAGGGTCGTTCTGCTCTATGGTAGTGAGACTTGGACCCTTCGGTCTGAAGATCTGAGGCGCCTTCAAGTCTTTGATCATCGTTTTCTGCGAAGCATTGCTGGAGTCGGATGGCACCAGCATGTCTGCAACGATGACGTGCGTAAGTGAGTATTAGGTAGTGATAATCATGCTATCTCCTTAGAGCAGCAGATAGCACTGAATAACTTGTGTTGGCTCAGGCACGTGCTAGGTTTGCCTGGTCACCGCTTACATAGGAGGGCCTTGTTCAGTCTACCAGTTGTAGAGTGGCGCAAGGCTCGAGGTGGACAGAAGTTGACTTGGCAGCGGGAACTAAAGTCACTGACGACCAAACTGGGTGCCGTCGGTCCGTCTCGCCTTCCGGGCTGGAGTCCACGTGACTCGGCTTGTGCTTGGCTCGAGACTTTACAGGACATGGCTCGCAACCGACACCAGTGGCGCGTCTGCTGCCGTCTCCTAATCGGATTGCCTGTTTAAAGTGTGTTTGGTGCTGAGTTATCTGCGGGGTAATGGCTTATTATGACGCGTGGCAGTGAAAGCCGCAAGGAAGCTGTCTCGCCGATGCCGCCCTATTTTTGCACGATAGCTAGCTGTTTTTGACGGTATGTTGTCTACACCAGGCGTAGGCGCCTTGACCCTGAATGTTTGCTTAGGGCATTAAGGTAAGTCCCCCTTCTCCCCCTCTCCTTATTCTTTATTTCATAGGTCCTCATGTTTGTATGGCAGCGAAGCATCAGTTCAAATGGCTGATGTACTGCTGTTGAGGATGATTATGATGAATATTCAATATCAGCCGTGCGCGACTTCGAAGCTGTGGTCGAGTTTGCCAACGACGGAGCGCATCTGGCTGTTTACTACGATCCAATCGATCAGGGCAGCTTCAGCCCGTGGACTCAAAACATTGGTCACGCCGGCATGACCGGCATTCGAAGCTGCGTCATCTCCAGGCAGGTGCAATCGGAATGTGCCGCCAGTGTCGCAGGTGTGGGCCGCAAGGTAAGCATGGAGCTCGAACCTTGCACGTAGATTTCCAATGATCAACAGATATCGATCTATAGGGTCTCGAGTGTTCAGGCAAGTGTTGCCTGTTGGCCAAACTAGCATAGTGCGCACGTTGATGCATGACAGGATGAAATGACGTCCAATTGGTTGAATGTGGATTTGGCGATTGGACTTGAGCGACGCCATGCGGTCGCGTGTGAGCTGAAACTAGAAGACAAGCTACTATTTAAGCAAGATAAGGGACGACCGAGAAATGGGGTTGAAAACGAGATAAATGTGAAGTTGGAGCGGGAAGATAAGGATGAAGAAGCTCAAAAAGGGAAAGAAGACGACAAGGTCTAAGAAGTAGCATCCAGACCTCTATCCAGCCTGCTCGATGCAGCAGATAGGCCGTTGTTGGTCGTCCATCACGGCGGCCAGAGCATCAGAAGATTGAAGAAAGTCATAGTGTTGTATCGCGTGGGCAGGATGCCGCCACGTTGCCCAGGCCTAGGCAGGAGAGCGATTAGGGTCCTCAACCAAAGCCTTTGGTTCAAAATTCTTGCAACAAGGCAGCGGGGTTTTGGTACCAAGCTACAGTCCGTTTAATGGAATAAGGAGCCACCCTCACTTCAACCCCCAAGCTGGAGGGTCAGGAAACAGTTTGTCTGGTTCATTGAGACATACAAAACATTGCATCACGTTAAGTTTCAGTCACGTCCCGGACGGAGGTTGAACAAGTGGGATAAAGCGATTGGATTGTTTTGCAGTTAAACGCAATTTAACCGGTTTGGTAGTTAGTAGGTCGACCGAACAAAGTGTTTCCGAAAATCAGGAAAAATAAGCAGAAAACCTTTGAGAATTAGTTTACGAACTATGTGAGTATGATTACTTAAGTCATTCAGGCCGAGAAAGACGACCGATTTAGGGGACACTGCAGTCTCAAGTCCTAAGGATCGGATACAAGAGGCAGTGGAGCGATTAACGCACATTGCTAACCGCTGAGAAGTGGACGCCAAAGTATGGATACCTCGACTTTCGAGTAGTAACAAACTACCCGGGGCGCTCACATGGCTCGAGTATAGCGACACAGGCAAGGAAAAGCCTTAAGAACCGCCAAATTCATCAGCTGACATGAAGACTGATGAGAACTCGATAGCTCAAAGTTTTTCAGTTCGCGAAGTTCACCTATAACTAAGGTGGCTATTAAGGTTATACATGCGCTCTCCGTTATGTACACATTCGAAGAAAAAAGTGTCAGAGGTTCGTGACACTATAGCCGGTCACAATGGCTTTGACACAGCATCGTAAGAGGTATCGCGGTATTATTGGGAAGTTGATTGCCAACGCAGAACCGCCAGGCACTGATGACTCTCCAGATGCAGTTGTGTACGAACTGGAAAACTGTCGAGCCGCCAAATCTAGGCAAGTGCGGGAACGTGAAGCTGGGGCGTAGATGATGCAAGACAGGAGCCGGGACTGCTACATTACGGATTACCAACAAACCACGCATGTGGGCTAGTATAAAAAGAAAGGGTCCGACAAAGGTGGAGAGTAAGCAAATGCTTGGTGAAGATTGCTTTAGCTGATCATACAGTGAAAAATGGAAATTGAATTCAGTTAGTTAAACATGTGTGGCCGGCGCTGTGTTCCGAAGAAAAACGATGTACAAGTGTACACTAACAAGCATAACCTGAACAAAGTTAACAAGATTGAAGTAATTAGCTGTTAAACAAGACATACCCGAAAAGTAACGGATTTATTCAATCGTTCTGCTAGACCAGCAGAGCTCAGATCTTGCCAAGTGACAATATTACAGTATGGTGCGGACGTTTTTCTGTACAAGATGGTTTATGCCAAAGGATGTTAACCTGTCCCAGATGAGCAGGCTGTTCCGTTGTACGGAGATACCAAGACAATTCACTCTATCCGGGGGCATATTCGCATCTAAGAACAAATGAGAAAACGTAAGGGACGTACTTGAAAGGACTTGGGTTACAAGTTGGCAGAAGCATTTCCAAACGCAATCTGGGTCCAGTTCGTAACAGCCATCCTCTCCTTGTATGCGATCGACCTAAACAAGTAGACATATGTGACAGAATCTCCAAGAATTGCTGTGTTGCATCAGATATCTCGGAGAAGGATAGTGTAGCATGTACGTTGTATCCTTATGTACGGTTCACTTGCGACATCCCTTTACGAAAACTGAACGTGTTATGATTGAGGAAATCCAGCGAGGAGGATCGAAATCCATCTCGCCGCTCCGGAACCTACACTCAACATCTTGGAAAGAAGACATTTTCCCTAAACTACCGTAGACGTGATCTGATTTATACCAGGCGGACACTACGAGGGGAGATGGGGGGGGGGGGAAATGCAAACTTTCAGCTTTGCACTGGTAGCTCGACACGGGGTCACTCTTGGAAACTGTTTGTCGAGAAGGGTCCGGATCCATTCCGATTTCACCCTATCCCCTCGTGAGGAAAATGGCTGAAACAGTTTGCCTAAGCTGGTCGTTAGCGTGCAAGGTGAGGCAGGTTTCAAACGGCTGTTGAACGCATACCTGCTGTGTATGCAAGGATCTTGCAGTTTTCGCTGCGACCGTAATGGTCCTTTGTGGAAAACAGCTCGCAAAGTTTTGTGCAGCACTTGTTCTTAACGGGATGTGATGGGATTGACAGCATTTCCTATCTGCTCTCTAGCACTACAATGAAAATGCTTAAAAATAATTAAAAAATAAACAGATTGGAAAGCTTGAAAGACAGGATGAGCTACTAACCTAAGCTATTTGCAGTGAGAAAGGTTAAGGAGAAGGGCAAGAAGCGGGATAAGAATACAGCGGGGCTGTTGGTGCTTAGAATACTGCAGACGTGTACTTCAGGAACGTCAGTGATTGGGACTGGGTCAGAAGAAAATGAGATTATAAACAATGCCGACGACACTCATAATTAGGAAGAACAAGCAAGAAATGGCAGGAAGGAACTTACTGGACAGGAGCTGGATCCAAGGACAGTAAAATCATGAGAGTACAAGCGTCCGCATGCATGCGTGCTTCCGAAGTCAACACTAAGTATGTGATATGGCGGAAGTACAGCCTGTAAAAGAAGCAAGTTAAAATAGTGCGACCGCAAGCCAGAAGAAGGACAAAGCATCATCAAAAGGGTTTTATTAAAAAGCTACAATGGGAGATACCATCGCTGTACAACGGTAGAGATTTGGATTATAGTTCGTCATCAGCGAGTTTTGCAATTGCTTTCGCGTGTTCTCTCAATCTCGCCTCGTGTATCTCTATAAGAGTCGCCAGCTCATTAATCTGGCTGAACAGCTCATCGAACTTCCGGTGAAGGTTGTCTTCCTTTGCTGACTCCTTACGGGATTGTCGACGGTATTCCAACAGCAAAATTCCAGCACCAACCATGAACATCAGCAACTCCCCAAGCATTTCAGCACCGAGATCAGCTGCCGCATCCTCACTCAATTTAGCCACCTCCTTAGGTTTCGACAACCCAAGTAACCGAAGCTTCAGTCGTGTCTCCCACAAATGATAAACTGAACCCAGTCATTAACCCACGTTATATGATTCTTACGCTGGGCTGGTGGCAGACATATGTAACTCCTGAAATACACATTAGATTTGGCCCGCTGCTTGAGGAAATGGACAAGTGGCTTGCTGATCTGTTTCAAGGCCAAACCGCCCAGCTTAAACACTGGAAACGCACCAACCATCCGGTAACCTGAGAGGATGATCGAGTAAAACACAAATCTGTTCAGATGGTTTCGGCAAACCTTACATCGGTCGTTGCGTGTAAAATGACGGTATTTCAATAGGCTGTATGTTAAATTACAAAATGAACCTAATTGATTTTGACGCGATAACTCGGAATTATTCGTGGCATTCTAATTTTTCCTCAAAAAATTGGAAAAGCAGGGTTTGAATAAGCACGTGCAACGGAATTTGGGAATTTTAAATATTCTATGCTCTAGGACATTCTGGATCGACTAAAGTTTACTGGAAATCAGTCTCATTGGCTCTGACTGCCTTTTTCCTGATGTTTACCGGTCTTATACCTACTTTACACGCTGTTTTTACCATTTAATTGCTTTCGTTTGACAATTGTATACGTATGTTGGGTGTGCGCTGTTTTATACTTGAAGAAGGCTGTTTAGCTAACCACCAAGACGGATACATGCCTATGTTCCTCGTTTGAATAGTCCAAGGCTTCTTATGGAATACCTTCCTTTTAAAAGCCAGACACGGATTGATTTGGTGGTATGCATCATAACCTTTGCTACCTCTGGCATCACGAATGTGGTGCCATGCTGCGCGTGTGCCAGCACAAGATATTATGGCCCAATGAGAATTTCCTCCTCAGCTGTGAGAAATGTTTCGCTCAACTATCGAAGCGCCTGATTTTCACCCGTGCTACACTTACAGCGCTAGCATCCTGATGGTCAGATTTAGAGAGGTTGTGCAAACTTCTCCTTTTCCGTTGTTCAACAGCCAAGTGGATTTGTTTCTGAAATCCCTGAATGTTGCAGGTGGGTATTCAGCAGCAGATTGTACCCCTGTTGACAGTGCATCTGCAGATGGCATTAACTTGCTTACTGAGTCGCTTAGCCTACCGGAGGCTCTAGTTTGCTTGGCGGTAACTGGCAGGCGAACCTGAGAACACCGGTAACTCTCCACATGATCCCACTATAGTGAAGTCTCAGAGTAAATTGAGTAAGCCCTCTGATAAACCCGGAGATTTGGTTGTCGGCATGAGAACAAAGCAGATGTTGTCAGCCACAAAACGATCTGACAGTTACGCAAAGGAGAAATCTCCGATATGCACGGTTTTTCAGTCAAACGTGCTGACCATCTATGCCGCTACCGGAGGTGCCTTCTCCGACGACTTATTGTAACTGATGAAGGCGAAAATAGATCGAGCGCCTTTGCTCCTGTTAGCCAACAGTAAAAGTAAAGTAACTTGCTCGTAAAGCTTTTGGTGGGCCACAACCCCCAGCGCAACCTAAAACGTCAGCAACTGACGGGAAAACAAATGTTACCATTGCTACAACGTCGTTTGTGGGGATACGGACACTTTCATCACCAACGAAGAAACCTGTTGTATGGATCGAATCAAATACGGATGGAGTCTACGCACCCTGGCGTGGATACTCTACCACAGATAGTAACGTTCTATTCCACGAAGTGCTAACTCTGCGGCTGCTCTCCAACGGGAAATCACTTTCGATGACATCTAGTGGTTCAAAAGATGCGTCACCAAGCTGTTTCCACCTAGCTTCCATGTTGTCATTGTCGGAAAGCTCTCCAGGCTGAATAAAGTCCTTATCAGTACGACGAATCCGTGATACCGGCTACTCAGCATAGTCTTTTCTATCCCGGAGCTACAAAACACATTACTGCACTTTGCGTTCGAACCCAAGGTCGGTAATGTCTTTCCGCCAAAGCATACATTAACTGCTCCGCTGCAGTTTAAACGTGCTATCATAGGGCACAAAATATGATGGGCATTTGGTGCGTAAGGCCACTGTTTTGTAGGTTTTCAGGTAGAAATCTGGGGTTGCAATATATATGGACGGTCGTGACGAGTTGCATCAAGCAGTACTTATCATTGCACGTAGATTACTGAAGCAGTTGGAGTTGGGTCCACTTGTTGACAAATTTCCTCCAGACATAGTTGCTTTCAGTGAAAAGTGGTGGGGGCTGTATAACTGGCTACGCGTTGCTTATAACTGATGGCTCCGTTAGCCGTCAAGGCGGCGGTGTTATACTTTATGTGAGCCGCAACTTGTATGTGTTGATAACCTGCATATTCCATTCGTCGGACTAAGCTGTTGAAACCTTACCGGCCTTTCTATGCAGTTCCGCCAGCTAGTTTACGGTTGTAGCGATATACTAGAGTCCTGAAAGTACCGCCAAGTGATTACCGACTTTACTCGCTCTCAGTCTACAAAATGGTGTTTAGTTCTACATGATAACTACCGCCAACGAGTCGGTTGAGCAGATGTTTCTTGCAACTCGGCTTCAGGAACAATAGACGCAGCTATTTTTAGGTGAACATCCAAGTGCCGCTGCACAAATTCGTGAAGTTTTCCACTAGCTAATACGGACAAACAAGTACAATTTTTTTGAGGTCTGGCTTCGCTAATTGCCTCGGGTGCGAAACTGACGTGTTTTGCCACATACATCTGGGGTCTATTGATCACCTTTGCATAAACTTTCGGTGTGCTCTTTCAAGATAACAACAGGATGTAGCACTGGGAATTCCATATATTTGGCGAGCGGACTACAGTGTGACGCGATTTAAGGTTTCAAAGCTCAACGGTGAGCTCTCCCGTATCAACCCTCTCCAGTTAGCGTGAGGTAAATTAAAAGCAAACCATAAAGCAATAAGCGGTTATAGTTCGCGAACGGCCGACACACGAAGGTGAAAACCTTTGATCATATATATGTCGAAGTACGGTACAAAAATTCTTAAAACTTAACTAGTTGCACAGCGGAAAAGTCGTTAAGGTAAAACTACTGCTCCCCACGTTACTTAAGCGATGTAGCGAGCTATTGTTTGCTAGCCGTTAAGGCCACGTAAACCTTGCAGGATATGAATAAAGTGAAATATTACATGAAGGCAAGGTGTCATCTAACACGAGGTTATCTCCGAGGCCAAAGTCCAAATCGTACGACAAGTTTCTTCTCTTCTGGGAAAACTTTAATCGGAATTCGCTTTCGGTTCCGCAAGCAGTTCGCCTTATCCCTCGGTAACTTGCCCTGTTATGCACTGGTTGCCTTAATCCAAAAGTAGAACTCCATGCTTGTCAAGCATAAAAGAAAGTAGAACAGGGGACAATGATTAGAGTGTAACAGGTGCTCTGAGTTACAGTGCAATCAACAACGAGAAAACTTACATTATTTTGTGGTCACTTTTTAACTGCACTTTTATCGACATTTATTGCGTAATTATATAAAAGTTTACCGTTAAAAATTTCTTTTTCGTCATACTGAATTAATAGAGCTTCTTTTCCATCCGCGGCAGGTCGCCATTCGTGCATAAGCAGAATACTTTCTTACAAACTAACATACATTTAATCCTTTCTACTCGTCTATTTGTTTTCACTCTGTTAGCTTTGCCCCAATGGTTAAGCTTTATATTTATTTTTATTTATGTATAGGTTGTTGTCGATTTTGTTCTAATACTTAGATGCAGTCTGCTTGAAATAGGTATGAAATAAACCAATGAATAGCTTGTTTGGTTCACTGGAATTCATTAGTGTTGTATAAAACAGAAGGATGACCTATGTCTGCTCTTTCTCTGCCAGTACAAAGCAGGGATAACGCGAATCATGGCGATACGCCGTTCACAGGCGACGGTCAAGGTTGCGAAGCAAATAGTGCGATCTTTGTTTTCTCAGCAGATAGGGTCCCAGCAAGCTTTTGAAGCATTTCCCAGTCTGTGTGCTGACGACTGGCTCTGGTTAATTGCTCTAGTACATCACCACACCAGCGGAAAAAATGACAGCGTGATGGACTTTAAGCCTTCTCGGGTTGACCAGTTTACAGGAGTGACTCCTTGTCGAACTGTCAACTGTTAAAAGATCTCCTGTGCAGTTAACATCATCCCTCGCGGAAGACCTCTTATGTAACTTTGGTCACCACGCCGGCAACAATAAGCTAAGAACAAACACGTTTATCGTTCGAAGTCGCTGCTTGCTAAACAAATTGCGAACCGCAGGGTTCGATTTCGTCCCTTGTCGTTGGATCCTTTCTATGAGAACACGTTCAATATTTGTAAGGGGATTGACCGCGGGTTAGTCGTATTCGAGGATGAGTCGTACATTGGAAATGAATTGGAGTTTAAAGACCTCAGTATTCATACGGGAGAAAGAACACCTTATGGCACAGAACAAACTATTAGCAGCAGCTAAGGACCTCAATGCGTCCTGGGTTATGCAATAAGCAGTTTACACAAGTACCTCTATGTCCTGCACACAAGCGGCGTCCCGTTACAAGAAGCCAGCAAGGTGTTAACCCCCAAACGGGTACGGGGCACCGATAGGAATGACTAAACACTTAGTACCTTTGATAGACAATTGTTACTCCAGTGGCCAGCTGGGCAGACCGTCAAGTGTCCCTTGCAATCGATCAGAATCCTAAAGTGCAGACCTTTTCGCCATAACTTTAAGTCCTAGGCATATAGCCAACCATCCGCGCACAGCTGTTTTCGAACTTCATTGCTGTATAGTTTGAAAACTTCAGGACCGGAGACGGAGCCATGTGGTACTCCACCTGTCTTAAGAACGGTCTCAGATTAAGTCTCCTTCACCTTCACCCGCATGCTAAGTTGTAGTAAACAATCGGAGGTACAAGAGAATTGTCCTAGAAACACTAATACTGCGAAGTTGGCCGAGGAACTGTTCGTGCGAAACCTTTTTTAATTGTTATCCTGAAGTCGACAAGGACGGCGTCCAGGAGGTTGCCGGCATGCAACGATTCACCTCATTTTTCTCTGAACACCCAAGCAGGTTGTTGATACAGGAGCTTGCCGTCCAGGAGTCATACTGAGCGTCAGACAGGTTATTCAAAATATCAAGGCGGCGACTCACGCACCTCTTAAGAATTCTCTCTTTAAGTACACAGTAGGGAAGTTAAATAAATCGGCCGATCGTTTCCAGGATCCTGACGATTTCCATCCTTGTATTTGGGCTTAACGGTACCTGTATTCCAAGCAAGCGGCGTACGCTCTGCATCAA